CCTCGTTCTGTACGTGTGGACGTCGAGCGTGCAGCGAGAGAGCGACGGGTGGGGCGGGTTCCTACGTTTGGGAGGGGCGGGAAGAGGAGAGGGTGAAAGGAAGAAGCATGAGGAAGAAGGGACAAGGACGCGAGAAAGAGAGAGAGAGAGAGAGAGGGAGGAAGGGAAGAGTGGGACGAGACAGACAGTGTGGAAAAAAGCGACGTAGGACGAGGAGAGACGACCTGGGTGAGCAGCGACGACTATGATGACGACTACGATGATGACGAAGACGACGACGAGGACGAGGACGACGGCGGCGACGACCACCACCGGCTGACCGAGAGAGAGAGAGAGAAAGAGAGAGAGAGAGACTCCTCCTGTGGACGTTCGTGCGTGTTTGTATCGTCGGCTCCCGGTTGGCAGTTCCAGTTTGACATGGGCGCGAGAGAAAGAGAGGGACGAGTAGAAACGAGAGGAAGAACGACGCGGTAATAACGTTTAAGCGAACCTCGAGGTGGGCTTCGCACGGGAGAGAGCCTGCAGGCGGAGCCGGGTGCTGATCGCGGAGGAGGAGCATGCCAAGGAACCGCCCATTGAACACCCGCTGGGTATTTTCTCCTCTCATTCCCGCTCACGTTGTACCGTCCCTTTAGCTCGTCTGACCGAGCTCAATCGTATTGGCGGGGATGGGGGTCGGAACGAAGAGGCGACCGGCAGTGGCGCGGGTCAGTCTGTCGGGCAACCGGTCGGTCTGTCGTTCCCTGCTCGTTTCGCTCGCTCGGCCTGGGAGTGTAAACGATACATCAAGCAGCTCCGCTTTTTCACGCGTGCGAAAGAGAAGCGAATTGGTGTCTTTGCGACGACGTAACTTTTCCTCGAGTCCCCACGCTGTTAACGGAGTGCTACTCCGGCCAACATTTGGCCGGCGTCATTTACTTCGGATCACATTCACTACCGATCGCCGATCGCTAAACATCACGGCTAGCTATTTGGCGTAGTTCTAGTGTTGTGCTCCGATTTTTATCGCTGCCCCAGTAAGGACTCTGATCAGTTACAACGTTTTACTGTACCGTACTCCACCGGCCATGCAACGAACGCGGCGATAGTAATCGACCACTCCGTGCCCGATTTCGTTCGTAGGTTTTTCGTTCCTTCGCACGCACGTGCTCTGTCATCTCCTCGCACGCGATACACGCGCGTATGTCGACAGCGAGGACTCGGAGTTGATTTGCACGATTGTAGAAGAGGATGCTGATGCCGCTTCAGCGGTACTCGCGTATCGAGGATAGAAGCACATACGGTCTTCCGGACAGCAATTATCAGAATCGGCATCGTTCTGACGCACGACGCCCGTAGCGTCACGGCGTCAAGCGGATCCGCCCTGAAACGCTCTCTGACTAGTTTGTCGGTAGACCCCACGTGGCTCAGGAAGCAGCGCGCGAGGTGATGTTGCTGGAGTCGCGAGGCCTCGCCGGTAGGAAGAGAAACGGACTGACACTGACCTCGTTCGGCGACGGTGGCGGCGGGGGGGGGGGGGGGGGGGGGGGGGGGGGGGGGGGGAGGAGGACGACGAGGAATCTCGACATCACCTCTACCTGGGCAGGAAGATGCAGGGCGAGGGCACCGCCACCTCCGCGGTACCTACCGGGCTATCCGGGTGTGCCGGCGATGACGGTGACGAGAGCTCGAGCCCGTCGCCGAACAGCAGTCTCCTGAATAATCTCAATAACAATTGTAACTCAAATCGTCAATGCGCAACCGACTTCAGCATCGCTGCGATCATGGCGCGAGACTCGCGTCAGCAGCAGCAGCAGCAGCAGCAGCAACAGCAGCAGCAACAGCAGCAGCAGCAACAGCAGCAGCAGCAGCAGCAGCAGCAGCAGCAACCGCAACAACCGCACCATCATAAACATTCGCAACAGCAGGCCGTCGGAGGTGGAAAGTTGCATCAACACGGTGAGTCTTTTCAATGGATGGTCTTTGGGATTAAATCTCAACAATAGACCTTCTTAATGTGACGAATTGAAGTGTTTTGTAAAACATGTGAAAGACACCAGTAATAAAATAAAATTAGAATTGGAAGGTGGTTTATCGTTAAAAGCGCATTGTTAAGTACAGAATATAGGGAGATTATAACTAAAGCTAAAATAATTTTATTGTCTTTGTTAGTGAGACGCCCGCTTAAAGTAAACGTTTTGAATAATTTTCTTAAATTTTCTTTATCAAAGGGAAAAATCAATTGTGAGGGAAACTGATAACGGAGAAATCAGGGAAAAGTCAAGGAATTTTTTGGCAAATAAAATTCGTGGTTTTAAAGAAGTTTAATATGCGCAAATTATTGCACCTATGTAGTTTTGGAACTACCACCTTAACAATTGAATGCAAGCAGTGTCAGCAACATTAATAGTAATTTACATTGTCATGTTAAATTGCTCTCTCAATAAAATATTTAATGATTTCTAGATCAAGAAAATACAAAAAAATTCAAATTCAGAGAAAATCATGACATTTTATTTGGAAATCAGGGAAGAGTTATGGAATTTTAGGACGAGGAATTTGTGGCAGTTCTATAGGTTGTCATCCGTTGAATGGCTTTTTTATATTATATTTTCTTATTATAGCTTCTGTGTTTTCTAATATACTTTATATGTTTATATATTCTATTTCTCCAATTAACATTGCTTTGATTGATAGGTCTACATTAAATTAATAAATTGCATACCTTGCTAACAATTTTTCATAAATATATATTTAACTTTTTAAAGAATTCTTTTATATGGTTTTCATTGAAGTTGTATGAAACTTATAGAACATTATATATATCTTTACACATTTTTATTTTAAACCAAAATTATTATGATTTATCGTGTGAGCATAGTTTCTTCATAAAAACGCAAACCATTGTTGCATATTACTACAGATTTACTTTCTGAAATCTTCATGAAATCCTTTCGCAATCGATCGTATGGTTTGTAACATCCGTGTAAACTTTACGAGCGTCATAATTACGCGTACTTTACCGATAAAAATTAATTAGTTTCGAAAGCCTCGATGCAACGTATCTGTTGCATCGTTCCTGTTACGTGAATCATTAAATATCTTCCTTTTGTTTAAATAAATGATAAGTCGTGTGTTACATGTCACGTGCTGAATATTTCATATTTCATTGTTAACTCTTGTATTACTCCAATAAGTAATATTTTTTCTCTTAATTACACAATGAGATATGTAATAGATTTTAATAAGAACAGAACGATTTTAATTGTTGAAGTATTTAAAAATTTAACTAAATACAGATCTGAAAATAATTTTGTTGGACCATCAAAATAAATATGTAGCACGCTTAAATTGGTTGCTAGAATGTCAAAACTTTTTGCAACATTTGTTCATCATGCTTGACTTTTCTACGTAATTATTTTGATGGTTCAAAATTATTTTCAGATCTGTATCTATAGCTAAATTTTTAGATATTTCGACATCATTATTTTTGTGAGAGTATGTATAATGATTATTGGCCACGAACATTAAGAAATAAAGAAGATTAAGACATAAATAATTTTTTGCAGCTGAATTACATATCTTACGATTTCGTTTGGCATATACATACTATATTTGATATCCATTAAAATAATGAGTAAAATGTTTTCATTCATTGCAAAACTGCAATTTGCTCCGAGGATTCTAAGTGTTAAATATGATCATGCAGATTATATTTCAGTATAATATTAACTCTAAATTCGAGCACATTTATTTCACGGAAAAATCACTTGATATAAATTCGTGTCGTTTTCTTGGCTCGCGGAGAGTCGTTAGTCGACAGTCGCGTAATTGACATTTCACGTCGGTGTATCAACGCGCGATTACTCTTCTGTGTCGCTACAATTAATGTCGCAATTTTAACTTTAATTAATTTATTGTTAGAGAATATTTTAAAGAAAAATACGCGCGTGCTCGTCAAAAGTAAAAACTAGATTTTCTCAAAAGTAAATTTGTGAAACCGATTAATATCTTAATTTTCGATATTTCATTTTTATTCACTATTCTGGTTTTACAATTTGTTCCGTAATGTTTCATGTATCTATTTATTAAACGCATTATATTGATAACAGAACATCTTATAACATGATGTTTTATAATAATGTTTTGAATTGTATATAAATAGAATTTATATTTAATTGGAATGTCATTTATTGTCGCGACGAATTGTCGTTTACGAATTCTTCGATCTAAAACACTTATCGCTAATACACTGTTAAATCTATAGTGTCAAATTTAATTTAATTTGAGTAGCCATTGCTCCTACTAAATAATATCGTTATTTTTTATTAAAATGATAATTGAATTTGACACTGTATAATATTAAATTAATATACTGTATAGTGTCAAATATAACCATTGTTTTAGTAAAAAATAACGATATTATTGAGTAGGAGCAGTGGCGACTCACATTAAATTAATTTGACCCCATAAAATTTAACAGTGTACTTGAATTCTTGTGACGTATTTGAGATTGGCGAGATCGTTGTTCATTAACGGCCAGCTTCTTTACACTATTACATTTATTGTTATCGCGTTTCTCGCGGGCGCATCGTCGCCGCTCCGGTATGATATTGTGCGAGTCATAACTCTCTTCGCGCGGCGCACCTTTCTTACCGTGGCGCATTAACTCGAAGAAAAATCGCTCACCCCTTTCGGTACGGCCATCCATAACGTTTAATGCGGCCATTTCCGACGAAAATGGAGCGGCCAGTCTATCGCGCGATTTTTGCGTCGTATCCCCGGCCTACCTGTCCGCCGTCATGGCTCATTATTTTTATTGCTCCGTTAAAAACTTCACAATTAATTTTCGACCATTTTAACGTTTATCGCGTATTGGTGATATTCCAATTCTTTTGGAACGACACCATCACGTGCGAATGAGTGACGACGATGCAATTGCAAGATATATATGGAACGTAGAAAAACTGTGTGCAAAGTTTAAGTACTTTAACATCATTATATAAAATTCACGCATATTTATATTATTATTGGGTAATTACATAAAATAACTTGTTATTCATAAATAATATCAGATTATTCATGAATGATAAGTTATGTATAATAATTACCTAATACAATAATAGTGTAAATAATCTGTTCTGAAATAAAGAAAGTTTTTCTCCTTCAGTTTTTAAACTTTTTCCCATTTAGCTGAAAAAAGAGAATATATTTTGGAATTATAGCGTATAATATTTTTGTATGTACTGTCGAAATCAATAACTATAATGAATTTTTCAAACGCTTATAATAGTTGTCAGCGAAGCTCTTGAGAAATGTACGAGATGTTTTTTTTGTGCTGAGAAATAAAATACAACGACAACCTCCTCGACGGAGCGTGAATTGCGCGGAAAGTTTTCCGCTTGACGTCTTCTCGCGTTTAAGTATTAATTCCGGAAGCGCCGATGACGCACGTCGAAACGTGGACTATGATTACCTGTGAGCTGACAATTGTCAATTGTATTGTGAATTGTATAAAGCCCCTATCCCTTTCGATGTTATCACACAAATTTTAATATAGCTAATATTACGCCGATAATATCTTGTTGAAGCGCTGCTGCGTAATAATTACTGCGAGTATGGACGATAAAATAATTATGTAACAATTGTGATGTGATACATTTTAGTACAATTTAATTAGATTTTTATTAATAAATACTATATCGATTATTATAACATGCTATTATGGTTATACACAAATACCAAATACTTTTCTCTCAGTATATATCTACTTAAATTTTTAAATACCTTAGCAAAATTGTATTTTAGTATATAGATTTGGCATCATAAGTCTTTCTCTAATATTGCAAATTTAATAAATTTTTTATTTGTAATTCCGCTTAATAATCATAGCGATTTTATGATTGTTGGACCATCAAAATAATTATGTGAGAAACTTAAATATAATGAACAATTCTGCAAAAAGTTTTGATATTGTAGCAATCAGTTTGACCGTTCTACGTAATTAATTTGATCCAATAAAATTATTTGCAGTTTTATATTTGCTAAATTTTTAGATATCATTAGACTTCATCAAAATAATTTTTTTTAATTATAGCAGAAGCTACTGTTGTGACAATCATTTCGCTGTTTTATATCTGTTCAAAACATCTGCCAACATTCAGAATCTTCTTTAAAAAAAAAGATATTCGTTAAGCAAAGACTTGAGTGTTACTAAGGCGCGACGAGTGTAGGAACATGCTTGCCATCGCGTTTTAATTCACGCATTTGCGAACATAAAAATGTCGACGAGGTAAATTACAAGCTGGCGCGGCGTTCTAATGAGGCCCTCTAATATAGAAATTGTTCCGAACTGTCATTATCGAGATAAATGACCGGCGAGGGCCGCGGCTCGTAGCTGGGGACGAAAGCGGATCGTTTTTGTGGGGAAACGGGATAATGGCCCGTCACTTTCGTTTCTTTTAACGACCGAAAAAGGCGTCCGGAGCGGGGATTCGCGCGGTAAAGTCACTCCATAATCCGTCGCGCACATTTAGATGGCTATATCTCGTAAATGGAAGGTAAATTGACCTAAATAGCTACTAGAGAGTCGCTCGATAGATACGGAAATTACTGTACATGATAAAGAAATTATTATCGTCGTAATAAAAGTAATAAGAATTATTATTATTATTGTATATGTGCGAACATTTTTTTAAAGTAATTAACGATTGCATTTTGTCTTGCATTATGAACAGATCTGAATTATTCATTCAAGCAATATAATCAAAATTTTTTGTCAAGAAAATTAATTATTTTTTGAACAACAAAAAGAACTCTTTAATTTAATTGTGATAATTTTTACTATTGAATTTATAAGAATATAATCCCACTAATTTCACTTTGGGAAATTTGTGATTATTTATTATTACGATTATTTATTATTGCCAGAATTATGCTATGATATATAATTTGCTTGA